TCTGCTCCCCAGCAGCAGGTTCAGTCTCTGTCCCCACTGTCCCCCCTCACCTGCTGTGGAGAAGGCCCAGGAACCAGCACAGTTTCCTTGGTCCAGAGGTTCGTGGATCAGCCCAGGCCACTTTGCTGCTGCGTCGAAGTGGCGTGGCAGGACCTCGTTGGAGTCCATGTTCATCTGCAGAGCAGAGCCAAGAGGGGCTCACCCCACTAGGACCCCCACACCTCCCCCTGCCCACCATAGCCACCCCAGCACCTCCCAGGGCATCCTCTGCCCAGGCAGTGTTAGTGTCCCCCAGCCCCACTGCAGGACCCTTCAGGGTGGACACATCACCCAGGTCATGAACAATCAGGATTTGGGTTGTCTCCAGTCAGTCTTAGTGTCCCCTAAACCCACTGCAGGACCCTTCAGGGTGGACACATCACCCAGGTCATGAACAATCAGGATTTGGGTTGTCTCCAGTCAGTCTTAGTGTCCCCCAGTCCCACTGCAGGACCCTTCAGGGTGGAGACATCACCCAGGTCATGAACAACCAGGATTTGGGTTGCCCCTTGTCCTAGAGGAGCCAAATCACTCAACTTTCCCTAAATTTGGCCTCCTCAGCAGCTCCTCATACAACACCAGCACCAAGTGTCCTGTCTGACATCCCAGCCATGGCCTTGCTGTCCACCACAAGTGCAAGATATTGGGTGTCCCAGCCCCTCGTTGTGGCCTCTGGCCACTGCCTCCAGGGCTCAGCCTTCCTGGGGAAGACCCAGCCACACTCCTGGCTTAGCCTCAGGCTCAATGCCACGGTGATGGGCACACACTGTGCACAGTGCTCATCCCAACATCACCCCCAGGAGATGCCCACCCCGAGGGGGGCAGCTTTTGGGTACAGGCAGAGTCACCCCAACTCACAAAAGTTGCTGGCACAGCCTGTTGTGCCGACTCAGCAGCTGCGGGGCCGTTCCGATGGGAAACCGGCACGGAGGAGAGGGGGAAAAAACAACACTGGCAGCCTAGGGGATTGTCTGTGGGAATTTGCTGAGCTGCTGTCTCCAAACACAAGGGCTGCCCGCGGCACCCACCAGCCACGGCCCCTTCCCTGCCTCCCCCCAGGTGCACAGCCCCTTCCCAGGGATGGGGAGGGCAGCGTGGGGATGCTGCTAGAAAAGGGGATGGGGAATGGGTGGATCAGCTATGGGATGGGCAGGCTCAGCCCCGGGCATGGCTCAGTTTCTCCCAGTGGGCACTCACGTGCATCTCGTTCATGTTCATGACGGTGGGAGAGGGGCGGAAGGTGCCCAGGCGGTGCCGGATCCCATCCTCCAGCGTCATGCCCCACAACTGGCTGTAGTTGGCAGCTCTCCAGCTGTGTGAGAGGAGGGGGCACAGGTCAGGGATCCCCCCAAAAAAGCACCAAGGGGGTGGAGCATCCCTTCCCCATCCTCCTAGCAGCCAGTCCTTACCCGTAATTGCCTCTGTTGATGGCATCGATCAGCTCCCCATCCATCAGGCAGGCATGGTCCTCACACTGCCACTGCCCTCCAGGGCCACAGGTGCTGCAGAGGGCACAGTCAGCGTGTGAGGGGTGATGTCCCTGGGGTGACTGGGGGAACCCTGAGTGGCTGCTGCACCCCCCAATCCAGGGACCTGTTGCCACCGTGGGTTGTCCCTTGTCCCCAGTCAGTGTTAGTGTCCCCTAAACCCACTGCAGGACCCTTCAGGATGGAGACATCACCCTGGTCACAAACAACCAGGATCTGGGTTGTCCCCAGTCAGTATTAGTGTCCCCTAAACCCACTGCAGGACCCTTCAGGGTGGAAACATCACCCTGGTCATGAACAACCAGGATTTGGGTTCCCCTTGTCCCCAGTCAGTGTTAGTGTCCCCCAGTCCCACTGCAGGACCCTTCAGGATGGAGACATCATCCTGGTCATGAACAACCAGCAAAGGGCCAGAGCTGTTTCTGCACTGGGGTCTGGGTCACCACGGCCTGGCACCTCGAGATGGGGTGAAACTGGGTCAGGAGCCACGAGCAACCCTCTGGGTGGCCCTGGGGGCTGTGTCCCCCCTGCCCCAGCCCCCCCAGGAGCCCAGGGGGCAGACAGGGCATGGGACAGAAAAATCAGCTGAAAAGCTGCCAGAGCTGCAGACATCAGAGTGGGGCTTGGCCAGCAGCCCAGGGAGGGGGGTCGGGGCTGGATGCTCCCCCTGAGTGAGCTGCTCTGGCCAGGTTAGCTCTGCAGCACCCACAGGGAGACCCAGGGCAGGAGGGGGGACTGGGGGTGTGCTGGGTCCCCTGGGGAGCCCTGGGCTCTGCTCCCCCCGTGCACTGAGCAATGCTTGGCATGCTCCCTCCTGCCCAGAGCCCGACAAGCTCTCCCTTTTATGGAGCTGTGTGAGGCTGGAGCTGTGTCCTGCCAGACACCCCAGGCCCAATCCTGCAGGCAGCACCTGTATCCCAGTTCTCCCCCATCCTCCAGTGCTCCTGGTGCTGCGTGGGGATCCACAGAGCACCCTGGGCTGCCACCACAGCAGCCCCCTCTGTTTTACCCCAGCAATGCTCTTTGCCCCGTGCCAGCCCCCGCGGGATGGGGACAGGGGCTGGGAGGAAGCACTGCAGAAATTCCTGCTCTCCCAGTGCCAAGTGCGGGGGAAGTTTGGCAGAAGAGCCTCAGACCTGCCAGAGCTGGTGGGTCAGACGTTCTCCTCCAGCAGCAGCAGCAGCGATTTGCCAGTCTAAATGCACAAATTGTGACCTTCCCCCGAGGGATGGGAACACTCT